AAGGAGGGGTTTTGGGATATTAGCAGTTTGGAGGGATATGTTGTGTATCTTTATACAGTGGACCCTCGACCAACGATATTAATCCATTCCTGAGAGCTCATCGTTAATCGAAATTATCGTTAGTCTAGTTAATTTTCTCCATAAGAAATAATGGAAATCAAATTAATCCGTGCAAGACACCCAAAAGTATTGAAAAAAAAAATTTTTACCACATGAAATATTAATTTTAATACACACAAACTGAAGAAGACATTCACAGTTACATGACACTTACCTTTATTGAAGATCTGGTTATGATTGATGGGATGGGAGGAGGGGAGAGTGTTGATGGTGTTAGTGCTTAGAAGGGGAATCCCCTTCCATTAGGACTTAAGGTGGCAAGTCCTTTTTCGGGGTTACTTCCCTACTTCTTTTAATGCCACTAGGACCAGCTTGAGAGTCAATGGACTTCTTTCGCACAACATATCTGTCCATAGAGGCCTGTACCTCCCGTTCCTTTATGACATTCCTAAAGTGTTTCACAACATTGTCAGTGTGACAATTAAACACTTGTTCAGGTTTCAATTCTTCACTGTCTATGTACTCCTTGAATTCCTGCACATATTTTTCAGCTGCTTTTTGGTCCAAACTGGCAGCCTCACCATGCCTTATCACACTATGTATGCCACTACGATTCTTAAATCTTTCAAACCAACCTTTGCTGGCCTTAAATTCACTCGTATCACCACTAGTTGCTGGCATTTTTCTAATTAAATCGTCATGCAACTTCCTAGCCTTTTCACATATGATCGCTTGAGAGATGCTATCTCCTGCTATCTGTTTTTCGTTTATCCACACCAATAACAGTCTCTCAACATCTATCACTTGCGATCTCAGTTTCGAAAACATAGTTGCACCTTTGACAAGAACAGCTTCCTTGATTGCCGTTTTCTTGGCCACAATAGTAGCGATGGTTGATTGGAGTTTTGTGTACAACCTGGCCAGCTCAGAGACACGCACTCCACTTTCATACTTAGCAATGATCTCTTTCTTCATATCCTTAGTAATTATCACCCTTTTTGCTGTAGGGTTAGCACTAGAAGCTTTCTTGGGGTCCATGGTGACTTATTTTGCAGGTGCAATCACTAAAAACGCTGTGATAATATGAAATGTTTCGATTGTATGTTTGGATGGGACCGCAGTGGCTGGCTGGCTTGTAAACACTGGCCAGAAGTGGACGCATCTCAGATGGAATGAATCGTGTTGGTTGAGTTTTTTAGCGCTAGTCGAGGCAAAATTTTTGCGTTAAAATGTATCGCTAGTCGGATTTAACATTAGACGATGCCATCGTTGGTCGAAGGTCCACTACGTATATGCTGTAGTATAGCAGTTTGTAGGGATATGTTGTGTATCTTTATACGTATGTGCTTCTAAACTGTTGTGTTCTGAGCACCTCTGCAAAATCAGTGATTATGTGTGAGTGAGGTGAAAGTGTTGAATGATGATGAAAGTATTTTCTTTTTGGGGATTTTCTTTCTTTTTGGGTCACCCTGCCTTGGTGGGAGATGGCCGACTTGTTGAAAAAAAAAAAAAAAAGAGTAACTGAGTGAGTGAATGTGAGATTATGAAGATGAGATTAGAAAGAGAATGAATGAAATGAATTAAAGAATGAAAATGAATGATAGTAAGGTAAGGCTTAGACAGTGGTACGTACTATATGTAAAGTGGATTGTTATTAGCCCAAACGAACATGACACTCTTTCACTTTTCTTGAGGATCACTTAGCAACATCAATGATATTTCTACTCATTACCATAATATTACACCTTGTTAAAAAAAATATGTGTGTTGATGCTTGCTAAGGCACACAATATTAAGGGAGATACAAATAACATGAGCATAACTGCCAGCAACTTTTTTTTTATTTTCTTCTTCAACAAGTCGGCCTTCACCCACCTAGGCAGGGTGACCCAAAAAGAAAGAAAATCCCTAAAAAGAAAATGCTTTCATTATCATCCAACACTTTCACCTCACTCATACATAATCACTGTCTTTGCAGAGGTGCTCAGATATGACAGTTTTGAAGTCCCTCCAAACTGTCAATATCCCAAACCCCTCCTTTAAAGTGCAGGCATTGTACTTCCCATCTCAAGGACTCAGTTCTGGCTAACCAGTTTCCCAAAATCCCTTCACTGAATATTACCCTGCTCACACTCAAACAGCTCATCAGGTCCCAAAAATCATTCGTCTCCATTCACGCCTAACTAACATGCTCACACACGCTTGCTGGAAGTCCAAGCCCCTTGCCCACAAAACCTCCTTTACCCCCTCCCACCAACCTTTTCAAGGACGACCCCTACCCCTCCTTCCTTCCCATACATATTTATATGCTCTGCAAGTCATTCTGCTTTGATCCATTCTCTCTAAATGACCAAACCACCTCAACAACCCCTCTTCAGCCCTCAGACTAATACTTTTAGTAACTCCTCCTCCTAAACCTTTGTACCACCAAATAAAAAACCTAAGGAAATAATCAGGAGGAAAAACAAGTTGCTGAAAAAAATCACAAGAAGCCTGACTTTTATTATGTTATCCTAAGTAAAACCTGCAGAGGACACAAAGATTGAGCAGTGGTTGATCCGCAACTACTTCTATATTTATTATGCTGTAATTATGCAGTTTTCATGTCTGTTACTACTCACTTTTATGTATATATTGTTGTTCATTTTGAAAAGTACAGTTACATACTACACTGAGTGGTAAGTACAATATTAATTGACTTACTTTTTTCCCCTAGAATTTTTTGTTATATAAAAGGGTTTTATTTTTTTTTTTTTTTTTTACCTCAAAACCTCATGTATATGGATTGATAGTGTAACACTCTATGGTAATTAGGATTTTCCTTTTCTGCAATGCTTACAATTTTTGTAAAATTTTCAGCTGCTTTGTTAATGTGTTTAATGTGTCAAGTCACAGCTGTTTATAGCAACTATTTGCTGATCTTGAGTATCAGCATGATTGCCATGAAAATCAACAAAATGAGAACCTGTTTTATTGTGGAGAGCTTTAACCCTTTCAGGGTTTCCGACGTACTAGTACGGCTTATGCACCAGGGTTATTGACGTACTAGTACGCGCAAATTCTAGTGCCTTCAAATCTAGCGAGAGAAAGCTGGTAGGCCTACATATGAAAGAATGGGTCTATGTGGTCAGTGTGCATAGTATAAAAAAATCCTGCAGCACACAGTGCGTAATGAGAAAAAAAAAACTTTGCCCGTGTATTTGGTTTAAAACAGCGACTTTGCACTGTATTTTTGTATGGTATTTATGGTTGTATTTTAGTTTTCTTGGTCTTATTTTATAGAATGGAAGACATATTACAGAAATTGAGATGATTTTGATTGGTTTCACAATGAAAAGTACCTTGAAATTGAGCTCAAAGTAGCAGAAATGTTTGATTTCTGCCAAAGTTCAAAAGTAAACAAATCATGCCATGCGTCTGATACAAGTCAACTGGTGAGTCTAATATTCTTTCACAAGTGTGCTGATATTATTTATACCATTTCTACACTAATGCAGTAGTCTGCATAACAATAAATCTTCTATTTTTTGTGAGAATAAAAATTCAAAGTGGAAAGCAAGAGAAATGTAAGAGGGGCCTGGGGACATGACTAATGAACAGAGGAAATGTTATTTTAGTGCCAGGAATGTCTGTCTTGTTTATTCTGGACCTTATTTGGAAATTGGCATCTTTTGAAATTTGTGTGAAATTGGCAAAATTGCTAATTTCTGACCACTTTATTGGATAGTTGAAATCGGTAAATGGGTGGTTTCTTGTGCCCATTCGGTAGAAAAAAATGGAGTTCTAGCAAAATAGTTACAATTTTTGTCGACTAGTACACTGGAATTGGCCGAAAATAGATCTCAAATTGAGCAGAATAGCTGATGCGTAAACATTGTCGAGACTGCTAACTTCGCGAGAGCATAATTCTGCAAGTTTTCCATCAAATTTCATTCTTTTGGTGTCATTATGATCGGGAAAAGATTCTCTATCTTTTCATCAGAAAAAATAATTTTTTTTTTTTTCCGAAAAATTTTCAATCCTGAGAAATTTAGGAGAGGGCCTCTCGACCCTGAAAGGGTTAATGAGACACCCTGGTGGTCCCAATATTTCCTCTTGTTGGATTTGAGTTCTTTTGTTTCTTGTTTCTAAACTGTATATTTTTATTGACAGTGTCAGTATTTTTTGTAGATTGCCCCTGTAGTTGCTTTAGGGTGCCTGTGATATATTCTGATAGGTTTCTATAGTTGTTTTACAATTAACATGATGCTTGCTCATGCCTCCTGATGGTTGCTTACATTGATTCAGTAGTTCAATTGTCCATGGAAGATCCTGGAAAATCCAAAGATTGTTTTGTTGCCTTTGCCTTGGTAAAGAGAGGGATGCTGATTCGTTATCTCAAGAAAAGTCATTGGGCTTCAATGTTCTTCTGAAATTATGAGTAAGCGTGAGGAAAAGTCTCAAGAATCATCATGAGACTTCAGAGCTCCTCTGAAACCAAGACTGAGCACAGACGAACCTATGCAGTTAGGAAATGAATTAGAATTTGTGACTTATCTGGGACTGATGAACTTTCAAGTTGTGGGGAGAAGAATTGCCAAAGATTTCTTCCAAATATTCAAATATACCATGGCATTCTGTGCATCTACTTGAACCACTGATTTGTTCTATTAATGTTGATGTTTCTGATTCAAAATACTAATCAGTCCTGTGTGTTTCTCTGGTTCTAGTGCTTTGCACATATCATCTTGTGTAGTTAGTAATAGATTTATTGGCCATATATAAAAACCTGAATTTCTTATATTGAGCATTGGAAAGCTTGAGTATGACCTGGCAATGATGTGTTTCTTGTGAGAAACATGGAAGAAGTTATGTGCTATAATTCAAGAAATGTCAGATAATATTTTTTATATGGCTCATTATTAAATAGTGCTTAAAATTCTTTTCCATGTACTTCTCAGAATGTTGCAGCAAATCACAGAGGAAATGATGTACTTGTACGAGAAGGTGCACCACAATCTTTACAAGCTCGCTTTATGTACGGTCCTTTGGATATGGTTGCTTTATCAGGTAAATATTTTCTTAGGGTTGTATATAAATATATATTGTAAGGATGAGCCAGGAGGCTTTAGAAGTTTTTAATTTTTTTGTATTTAAAAATCAAATTTTTACAGGCAGATTCATTTGAATTTTGTCCTAGCATGATTGCATATCCTGGCTATTTTTATTTAGGACATTTTACATTTCCACAATAGAAAATTTTAGAGATAGAAGTTTTCAGATGACTTTATGTCAACTGTTTGAAACCTTCCACGTGTGTGAATGAGCAGAACACAATACAGGGATGTTTACCACATGTAAAATTAAGCTCTACTGGCAGACTTATTTGGATTTTGGCATAAAATGTATACATATCTTGTCTAAATAAGGGTTCTCATTTGTCCTCTTTCTTGAGTATTGGTATGTACACTTATCTCTCCTATTGATTTTTCTTCTTTGCTCTCACTGACTGTTCATTTAAACAAGGAAAACATTGTTTGAAATTTGACAATTTTACTATTATTCCTGATTTTTTCTTAATTCTCAACTTTTTACTGTCCTCATACCTGTAACTTCCTTGGCAAGAAAATCAAAACCTTAATTGTAAGATCAGGGGAACTGATTCATGTATTTAGTACCAAAATCTGTAATCATTTGTCAGCAAGTTGGTGTAACTTTGTTTTTTCATAAATATGCAGCACTTCCTTGTAAATTTTATTACCATTTCTAGTATAGTATAGAGTGTTAGATTTAAAAAAAATTAGATCTTTGCTTGCATTAATGCTAGAATTATAAGAGGAAATTAATTCCACTTGTGTAATGTTTGTAACTATGAAATATAGATACATTACTTAACTTTTATATTCTGTACAACAGACAAGTAGAATTCAGTATTTCAGTATTGTAAGAGCATTACACTGTTAGGTATATGCTATACTCTATATAAACATTTTTGTAATCCATTGTTTTACCATCTCTAGGTGAAAAAGTAGATATACACATCATGCGTGACCCACCAGGTGGTGACTGGCAACAGATAAATACGGAAGTAACTGATAAGACTGGTCGCATTGCTTTTACTATACCACCAGATAAGGCACTTAGTTGTGGCATGTATCCAGTCAAGATGGTTGTTCGGTTAGTATGGTTTGCTTTTCCTATGAAATCTGTACAGATCTCAACATTAAAGCATTTTAAATACAACATTATACATGCCAACATTGGTTAAACTCTTATCCACAGTATGTGTATCATTAATTATATTAGGTTAAAACTTGCTTAAATTCTTGTAAATTTAGAGAATTATTCCATATAAGTAACATTTTCATTCATAAAATTTAACATATTGCTTATCCTATATATATGATTTAGCAACTTCAGAAATATAAAAACTGAATTTTTAAATAATTTTTTACATTTCATGATTTACTTTTTTTTTTTTTAACACGCCTGCTGTTTCCCACCGAGGCAGGGTGACCCAAAAAGAAAGAAAAAACTTTCATCATCATTCAACACTTTCACCATCACTCATACATAATCACTGTCTTTGCAGAGGCTTCGCTCAGGTACGATAGCTTAGACATTCCTCCAAATTGCCAATATCCCAAACCCCTCCTTTAAAGTGCAGGCATTGTACTTCCCATTTCCAGGACTCAAGTCCAGCTGACCGGCTTCCCTGAATCCCTTCACAAAATGTTACCCTGCTCACACTCCAACAGCTCGTCAGGTCCCAAACACCATCATCTCCATTCACTTCTGTGTGACATGTTCATGCATGCTTGCTGGAAGTTCAAGCCCCTCACCCACAAAACATCCTTTACTCCCTCCAGCCTTTTTGGGGATGACCCCTGCCCTGCTTTCCTTTCCCTAAAGATTTATATGCTCTCCAAGTCATTCTACTTTGTTGCATTCTCTCTAAATGACCAAACCACTCAACAGCTCCTCTTTAGCCTTCAAACTAATACTTTTAGTAACTCCACACCTCTTAATCTCCACACTACGAATTCTCTGCATAATATTTACACCACGTATTGCCCTTAGACAGGACATCTCCAGTGCCTCCAGCTGCCTCCTCGCTGCATCATTTACAACCCATTCTTCACACCCATATAAGAGTGTTGGTACCACTGTACTCGTACATTCCCTTCTTTGCCTCCATGGATAACGTTTCTTATGCAGTATAATTTTTATTTTAATAAACCACTTGTTAAAAGTTATTTTTTGTCTCCGTTTCAGTGGGGACCACACTAGTGCTACACTTTACTTGACTGTTGTGCCACCCAAAACTGAATGTGTTGTATTTAGTATTGATGGGTCCTTCACTGCATCTGTTTCTGTCACTGGGCGAGACCCAAAAGTGCGGGCTGGAGCTGTAGATGTTGTCAGGTAAGCTGTCTTGTCATGTGTTTTGCAGGAGCTGGTTGAGAAATTTTACAGAAGCTACTGTAGTATTTACTATGAAATCAGTCTTTTACTGAATAAAGATATAATGCTAAGTAATTGTAAAAGACACCTAATACAATGAAGTCTTAATTGGTACAGGTCGGCCATCACTAATCTGCCAGTCAGTTATCTGGTTCCATCAGTAATCTGGCATTAATTTCAGCTAGCATAATTTCAAATTTCATCATTATACTGACTCAGAAATTGTGCAGATGGTTGTATATCCACAGCAGCAAGCCGGTGGAGGAGAAAGCAGTGATGAAAATGAGGAAGATGTAGCAGAAAGAGTCTCTGTCAATAGATTAATTAAGTGTATTCTAACCTAACCACTCTGTAATCTGGCAGATTCACTAATCTGGCACACTGCAGGTCCCAATGATGCCGGATTAGTGATGGCCGACCACAAGTGGGCTTTATCAAGTATATTTGATGAAGCCCATTCATGAGTGAAATATTATACCAGTAAAGACTTCACTACATTTAGTTTTATTTATCTAAATCAGTTTTGAAAAATAATTTGTAATGTGTACTCTTAACCCTTTCAGGGTCAAAAGGCCCTCTCCTAAACTTGTTCTCAGGATTGAAAATTTTTCAGAAAAAAATCATTTTTTCTTGTGAAGTGATAGAGAAAAATAATTTTTTCTTATGAAGTGATAGAGAATCTTTTCCCAATCAAAGTGACACCAAAAGTATGAAATTTGATGGAAAACTTACGGAATTATTCTCTTGCAAAGTTAGCGGTCTTGCCGATGTTTACACATCAGCGATTTCGCCCACTTTGAGCCCTATTTTTGGCCAATTCCTGTGTACTAGTTGACAAAAATCATATTTATTTCACTAGAACTCCATTTTTTCTATCGAATGAGTACAAGAAACCACCCATTTACCAATTTCAACTATCCAATAAACTGGTTAGAAATTGGCAATTTTGCCAATTTCACAGAAATTTCAGAAGATGCCAATTTCCAAATAGGGTCCAGAATAAACAAGACAGACATTCCTGGCACTAAAATAACAAGTTCTCTGTTCGTAGTCACATCCCCAGGCAACTCTTATATTTCTCTTGCTTTCCACTTTGAATTTTTCTTCTTACAAAAAATAGAAGATTTACTGTTATGCAGACTACTGCATTAGTGTAGAAATGGTATAAATAATATCAGCGCACTTGTGAAAGAATATTAGACTCACCAGTTGACGTGTATTGAATGCTTGGTATGATTTGTTTACTTTTGAACTTTGGTAAAAATCAAACATTTCTGCTACTTTGAGCTCAATTTCAAGGTACTTTTCATTGTGGAACCAATCAAAATCATCTCAATTTCTGTAATATGTCTTCAATTCTATAAAATGAGACCAGGAAAACTAGAATACAACAATAAATACCAAACAAAAATACAGTGCAAAGTCGCTGTGCTGCAGAATTTTTTTTTATACTGTGCACACTGACCACATAGACCCCATTCTTTCATATGTAGGCCTACCAGCTTTCTCTCGCTAGATTTGAAGGCGCTAGAATTTAGGCATTCTAGTACGTCAATAACCCTGGTGCATAAGCCGTACTAGTACGTCGAAAATCCTGAAAGGGTTAATACAGTGATAAATGAAAATGATGTGAATTTCAAGACTTATTTGGATCACTTGGCAGTTATAATGCTAAGTAGAGTGGAATAGTATGTAGATACTGACAAGATGGAATAAATGACACTTAGATACAGCAGATACCTTTATTAATGACAACATTTCACCCACACAGTGGGCTTCATCAAGTCAGTAAAGAATACATGAGAAAGAGGAGTATATGCAGTGTACAGGTATAGTAGACACAAGAAGGTGAGGTGCATGAGTCTTATGAGACTCATTATTGATTCATTTTCCATTCCTAAATAGGTGACAATAACATTTCAGGATCTGCTCAGTTTTTAACTTAATTGATAAGATGATTAAACCTTCCTGGACATTTGCTGTCTATTACAATATTTTACATGCAAAATAATCGGTTAAAACTTCCTATTCACAGTACTTTGACAAATGATGTGAACTGTTCAAAAGTATGTAGTGTATTTTACTGCTGCTTTTTTTGTTTACTTGGTGGCACATGCATGCAGAAGACTATTAGCAATCTGGCGCTTAGCTGTTTGCGGAAAATTTGATTGAAAATTAGTTGTTTGAACTGCTTGACATCCCCTCAAACAATTAAGAGTTTGCTCTATCTTAATATATTATTTTGGGAAGTGGGGATGAACTAAATTACTCTTTTTTTTTTGTTTTTATACTCAAATTTTTATACAGTATTTTGCATACTTATATTGTACTGAGATGGTCCTGCATATATTGTATATTAGTGAATATTATTTTTTCAGAATGATGACTGGTTTATGCAAAACTTGGTCCCAAATGTTCTGGATTACTAAACTGAGGCTTAAATGTACACTGTACAACATATATTTTTACATTATACCTTTATTTTTAACAGGAGTAAGTTGGTAGACAGTAACCACCCAGGGAGGTACTACCATCCTGCCAAATGAGTGTAAAGCAAAAGCCTGTAATTGTTTTACATGATGGTAGGATTCCTGGTGTCTTTTTTCTGTCTCATAAACATGCAAGATTTCAGGTACATCTTGCTACTTCTACTTACACTTAAGTCACACTACACATACATGTACACATTTATGTATGCACACTCATCTGAGTTTTATTTCATTTTATCTTAATAGTTCTTGTTCTTATTGCTTTTCCTTTTATATCCATGGGGAAGTGGAATAAGAATTTTGCCTCTGTAAATCATGTGTGTTGTAAAAGTCAACTAAAATGCCAGGAGCAATGGGCTAGTAATCCCTTTTCCTGTATAGCCTACTAAAAAGAAAAAGAAGAAACCTGTCAAAGTGGGATGTTTGAATGTGCATTGATGTTGTGTGAATGATAAGAAAGAGATGATTGTAGATGTTATGAATGAGAAGAAGCTGGATGTCCTGGCTTTAAGTGAAACAAAGCTGAAGGGGGTGGGAGAGTTTCAGTAGGGAGAAATAAATGGGATTAGGTCAGGGGTTTCAAATAGAGTTAGAGCCAAAGAAGAAGTAGCAATAATGTTGAAGGATAAGCTATAGCAGGAAAACAGGGAATATAAATGTATAAATTCAAGGATTATATGGAGTAAAATAAGGGTTGGATGTGAAAAGTGGGTTATAGTAAGCATTTATGCACCTGGAGAAGAGAGAAGTGTACAGGAGAGAAAGAGATTTTGGGAAATGTTGAGTGAATGTGTGGGGAGTTTTGAACCAAGTGTGAGAGTACTTGTGGTTGGGGATTTCAATGCTAAAGTGGGTAAAAATGTTGTGGAGGGAATAGTAGATAAATTTGGGGTGCCAGGGGTAAATGAAAATGGGGAGCCTTTAATTGAGCTATGTATAGAAAGAGGTTTGGTAATAAGTAATACATATTTTGTGAAATAGAGGATAAATAAGTATACAAGTAATGATACAGCACATAATGAATGTAGTTTGTTCGATTATTTATTGGTGGATAAAAGGTTGATGGGTAGGCTTCAGGATATACATGTTTATAGAGGAACAACTGATATATCAGATCATTATTTAGTTGTAGCTACAGTTAGAGTAAGAGGTAGATGGGACAAAAGGAAAATGGCAACAACAAGTAAGAGAAAGGTGAAAGTGTATAAAGTAAGGGATGAGGAAGTAAGGGAGAGATATAAGCAACTATTGGCAGAAAGGTGGGCTAGGGCGAGTATGAGTAGGGGGGGGAGGGTTGAGGAGGGTTAGAAAAGTTTTAAAAATGCAGTATTAGAATGTGGGGCAGAAGTTTGTGGTTATAGGAGGGTGGGTGCAGGAGGAAAGAGGAGTAATTGGTGGAATGATGAAGTAAGGGTGTGATAACAGAGAAAAAGGTAGCTTATGAAAGGTTTTTACAAAGCAAAAGTATTATAAGAAGAGCAGAGTATATGAAGAGTAAAAGAGAGGTGAGAGTGGTGACAGAGTGCAAAAGGAGAGCAGATGATAGAATGGGAGAGGCACTGTCAAGAAATTTTGCAGAAAATAATAAAAAATTCTGGAGTGAGATAAACAAGTTAAGAAAGCCTAGGGAATAAATGGATTTGTCAGTTAAAAACAGAGTAGGGAAGCTAGTAGAAGGGGAGCTGTAGGTATTGGGTAGATGACGGGAATATTTTGAGGAACTTTTAAATGTAGATGAAGAAAGGAAGGCGGTAATTTCATGCACTGGTCAGGGAGGTATAACATCTTTTAGGAGTGAAGAAGAGCAGGATATGAAAGTGGGGGAGGTGCGTGAGGCATTACATAGAATGAAGGGGTAAAGCAGCTGGAACTGGTGGGATCATGACAGAAATGTTAAAAGCAGGGGATGATATAGTGTTGGAGTGATTGGTATTTTTGTTTAATAAATGTATGAAAGAGGGGAAGGTACCTAGGGATTGACAGGGAGCTTGTATAGTTCCTTTATATAAAGGGAAGGGGGACAAAAGAGATTGTAAAAATTATAGGGGAATAAGTTTACTGAGTATACCAGGACAAATGTATGGTAGGGTTATTATTGAAAGAATTAGCAGTAACACAGAGAGAAGGATTTTGGATGAACAACGAGGTTTTAGAGTGGGTAGGGAATGTGCAGATCAAGTGTTTACATTGAAGCATATATGTGAACAGTATTTAGATAAAGGTAGGGAAGTTTTTATTGCATTTATGGATTTAGAAAAGGCATATGATAGAGTGGATAGGGGAGCAATGTGGCAGATGTTGCAAGTACTATATGGAATAGGTAGTAAGTTAATAAATGCTAAAAAGAGTTTTTATGAGGATAGTGAGGCTCAGGTTAGGGTGTGTAGAAGAGAGGGAGACTACTTCCCGGTAAAAGTAGGTCTTAGAAAGGGATGTGTAATGTCACCATGGTTGTTTATTATATTTATAGAT